TCAAAATAATTAATTTATGAATCTAAAGATGATAAAAAACATTCCATTGTATCCATTGATGTTTTATTAATTAATTTTTTTTATAATCCGAAGATCTCCTTCCCAAAGCATAGGGAGAGGGTATATATCTGTCGGCAACACCGACTGGCCCTTTCTTACTTGTTTTTATTATTGTTTTACAGCATAGGCGCAATGTATAGGCCTTGAATAAAGTTGATGTCAATGCACATGTATTAGGTAGCCGCGAATTGTTACAAGAAATGAACTATTATGATAACATTATATGTCAAAATTTGTAAATAAGGAAAATAAAATTGAATTCGTCTTTAAACGGCATATACATTATAACTTTTTACCGGGTTAACCTGCTTTATGAGGATTTATTTGACATATGTGCAAAGGAATTGGCAATTGAAACCCACTGGGTTAACGAAATCCGGTTAAATTTAAACGTACTATTACCAAGGCCTATATAAGGTCGGACAGTAAGTAATTTTCGATTTAAACAATAATATCTTCCTACCAAATCTTCCCATATAACCACCTAACTATATTAAAATAGTTAGCTGAATTGTTCCGTGTGTGGGGGTTGTCCCCATATAGGCGTATTCTACCAAGGTATAGGGGATAGTCGTTACTCGAAATAGTCAGTTTTACCCTACAAATTATGGAATTCTAAGACGATCGTTTGTAATCAATCCGCTTTCTAAGGAAATCTTGATAAAAAAACTCGAACCTGACGATAATGAAATATATCGGTCTGCATTTATGCATCTCATATAAAAATTGATTACGTGTATGTTCGTGATCGCTAAACTCAAAAACTACTGCACCGATTTGGACCAAATTTTATGTACATGCTCTATGGGGCGTGAGGAGTGTTTCTGTTTAATTTTAAGTTCATCTGAGAGATGGCGCGCTATATAGCATCTTTGTGTTATCCCGAATAGAGATTGTGTGCTTAAACGACGTGTGACGACGTTAAGTATTCCGACACCGATTCATACATAATCTGTTTTTGTGAAAAGCGCGTGGGAGTCTAACGAAAAAAAAACTTATCAAATTGAAGTAGAATTCCTTGAAATCTATTTAAATATATGATGTAAAGAGGTATAGTAACTCATCAGTTGAGAACGGCGGGACCGATTTGACTCAAAATTTCTTTCAGTTATCTGTAATAGAAATGGGAAGGTCTTTATGAACAAAATTTTGAGAAAATTTCGCGAAAATCTAGAAAAACATATTTTGAAGGACGGCTGGACCGATTTGCCTACCATTATGTGGGACATATACCATAAAGTGATACTATACCGACAATTTATATTATTTTTTTATGCCCATATACACATAAAAAAAGATAATCACCCCTATTCCGTATGTCGTCGTCGACACAAAACGACGTCCAAGAGAGTCGTCTTTTGCAAATTGGTATTCCCTATGTCGTTGTCGACATTTATCGATAACTATTGAAACATTTTTGGTATTCCGTAACAATGTGTGACGACGACGATGTCGAAGATTTCTTCGTCATTGCTTTACTTGACGACTCAAGTGTTGGAACATTTTTTTAAGAAATTAAAAAAAAAAAACATGACCGGACCAGAACAGGATACATCATTCTACAATCTTTTCAATACGTAATGCTAAACAAAGAAAAATATATGGGATCGATTTCGACCAATATCAATAGGACTCGTCTATGTGCCAAATAAAATTTCACCCCAATTGGATGGATTTTTCCAAATCTCATCCCGTTCGGATCATAATGGTGACATGTAACTTCTTTAAAATAATATATGGATGAAGGGACATGCATAAATCGACTCAAAAAGTAATTCTATACATATATTAAAAAGTAACTATGGGTCTATCTCGTTTTCTTTTGGATGTTCCAAACACATGTACCAAGACATAATGCCCTGTTCCACAGTGCGGTGAATGATATAAACAAATGTTTGCACAAAAATATCAAACAAAATAAACAGCTGACCACAATTTTAGAGATGTGTTTTTTTGTTTTATTGATATTATCGATAAATAGTCGACATCGTCACATGAGTGTTACAGAATACCAAATCAGTGTCGAAGTGATGTTGATGTCGATGCGAAGTGATGTCGAAAGAGAAACGTCGTCGACAACGACGACGAAATACGGAATAGGGGTGAATATAACGATGAATAAAAAAAATCGAATTTTGAATCAAAATGATAAATGGGAGACCCGAAAATCGAGATGGACCAATGGTTCCTTCACCAAAGTTGTTTAAAATTGTCCATAGAATCATCCTAGGGATTTAATCGACAAAAAATACATACTTTGTTATGTCTTTCATGATGTGACATGGCACATTTTCCTTTGGTTGTTTTTAATTGCAGTGGGAAGAGTTTTACCAAAGAAAACTTTAAGAAAAACATAAAGAAGTCGGAGATTGGAGTAATCGAATGATGCGTTACTTACACCTCTTATACCTCAAGAACAACTGCGCCAATTGTGATGATTCAAAGGACTTATAAATCGTATGTGATCAAAATAGGAATAGTAATTGCGCCATCAATACTAAATTATCTTTTGAGGTAAGAGTTGTTAAATCAAAACTTGACTTTCTACTGAAAATGTTTGGTGGAATAAGTTCGAACAATTGATAAACTGAAATACCACACGTACTGACATAATTTAATATGTAGGAAAATAGTATGCATATTTTTTCTGAAATATATTTTCTATGAATTCGTTAATTTTTACCTTCCCTATATTAATGCAATTCTGATAAGGCAAAACAACGTTTGCCGGGTCTGCTAGTATTGTAATAATTATTCCTTTAAAAATCTAATCTTTTTCAGTCCTATAGTAGAAAGCTAATGAATATATCCGAGAAATATTTAGCTTTGTTCGCTATATGCGTAGTTGCTTATAAGCATTCCGGTTTCTACTGCTGAAATCAGCGTTTTCTCTTTGTTGTACATATAAATCATTTACGAAGTTAAAAGATCGTTTAACACCGCCGTTATTAATGTTTGCCTCAAAACAGGGCGAGTTACAGATTATAGCGCGTTGCCTTAAATCGAAATCCAAAAAAACCTAATAAAAAACAAATTGAAAATCTCGTTAATTCGTGAAAAATATTTAGAAACAATTCGTAATGACAGGTTTCTTTACGAAATGTCGGAATTCTTCTATATATAATCGAAATCGCTTATAACGAGGGATAAAAGATTTCAACTGTACTATGTTAATCTGTTCAAGACCTTCTAACGGACATAAAAAAACACACAAAATTGGACTTTTACATATTTCCTCTCTTTTCTTCTGTATTTATTTTATGAAATGTTAACACATAAATATATTAGTTTTTTTCATTGTTTTCTTTTCTATAATAAGAAACGCTTAATTTACTACTTAATAATTACAGAATAAATACTAATATTATTACTAATACATACATTTATATATTTGCACAAATGTTGAAATGAATCTTTGTAGTTTTGATTTCGACGCTAAACTCAACTTTCAAATTTTCCGTGGGCGATATTTGTATGGAATCGTCCTTAATTCCCGTCCGGTATTTTGCAGGATGGCTATATACAATTTTCTGGCAATGCTCTCACGTGGAGGACGAGGAGGATAACAAGTAATGCGGACTATCTCTCACCAGTGGAAGACAACTACAACCCGGAAAATGTTGAGATGTGTCACCTTGAATTTCGGCGTGTATGTAGGAAATGAAGAACTTCAACATAGTTTTAAATTTCAAATATTTGTTTTATTGTTATTAATAGTATAGGTTTATTCTAAAATCAATTAATTATTACAATATTATGGTGTATACAGAGATGATAATAGGTGCGATGTCTTCCGGTTTCCTTTGTACATCTACATTTATATGAGCAATTCGATTTATAATTTAATTAAAAATAATTACGAACTAAAAAGGCAAAATATAATAATAATTTACAAAAGGCTTAGTTTAAGTGGGCCGTAGGGGAGACGGGGACATAGGATGGAAGAAATCAGTCATAGTGGCAAACAATATAGAGTTCGTGTGTGTCGCCAGTATGAGTGACTTCTGTTTGTGGACAATCAGAGTGCAAATGCTTGTGGTTGACCTCCTCCGGCCGGCCTAATTGACTCCCTTTTCATATGCCATAGGGATAAAAAGGATAAAACAATGTGATCGCAAACAAAATAGATAAATCAATTAATCAATAAACAACACAAAGGTAACGAACTAACGATAATAACGAGGATCACAAAACAAGATCTGCCAAAAGCAAACACTTACATGTCAGTCTTTTGGTGGGGATGCGTGAGTTTGAGGAAGGTGGAAGGTGAAGAATGGTATCTTCATTCGCCCATTCATACTAAAAACTAAGAATGTCATTCAATGCCTTCCACCAATGTGGGAGAGGCGAAAATGCATTTCCGTTACTAAAGTATTTAGATTTGTCTAAGGTTTCATTTAATTTTAAATATGATACAGTTACGATTACTACTTAATTCGATTTCACTGGATTACACTGGAGAATAATTTTAGCTAGGTTTCTTTATTTTGGATAGGATAGGAGAATGGAATGAAGACAAACGATTTAACGCCGACAGGTGAGTATGTCTTCGGCCAATTCTGCTGAAGGTGGAGGAGCACAACAGAGATAGATTCAGAGAGAGACGACGGATGTATTGCTTTGGTATACGTGGCGGCGGTCGTGCGGTGTGGTGTCGACAAGGATGATAATGATTGCAGCAGCATTTACACTAGATGTCCTGACGAAGACGGTGGTGGGCTGAGAGATTTATGTACAAACGCGCAGGAAGGATCATTCTTTTTAAAAGAGACCTCTGGGTTTGGTGGTAATAAAGGTATTCACAATATGCGACATTATTATTACTATTATTTACACGGATCATTCCAACTATATTTTTCGAAGTCTATCTTTAGAAGATACGTGATAACATTCGGTTCACAGTCGGGAGGGGATGTTGATGCTGGTGGTGATGATGATGATGCTGAGCATGCGTTAGTAGGTGATGCGATTGTTCTTGCTGGTGCGGTGGCCGTGGCGGAAGAACTGCATTGGGCGAATTGAAGCAACTGGTCGTGTTGTTCCAGTTTGAGTAAAGTCATGCCTCGTGTTTCAGTGAAATGGCGTGTTGTGATGAAAGACTTGTCGACGCGTTCGAATCGTTGTCGCCAATACTGCTGGGGAGGGACATGGAGCCGGGACCTAGACTGAACTGTGGTGGGTAGGAAGCGTTGCTCGGCGGTGATAGTTGCTGAGTATTGGGCAAATGATTTTGTAGTTGTACGGCTGCTGCAGCCTGGGCTGCGGCGACGGCGTTCGCAGCATTTGCTGCGGCCACTTTTCCCTGGTTAACCACACATTTGCGCATGTGTTTCTCCAACGTGGAGGGAACACTGAAAGGCATATCACAGAAACGACAGCGGTACACATCCTTGCCCATGCGACCATGTGTCTTCATGTGACGTGTCAGCTTGGAACTTTGGGCGCAAGCATAAGAGCAAAGCTCACATTTGTATGGCTTCTCGCCTGTGTGGCTTCGGCGATGTACGGTGAGATTTGAACAGTTTTTGAAGACCTTACCGCAGAATTCACAGGTGTCGTTACGTTGCCTACTTTCTTTTTTCATTAGAGAATTCTGAGCCAGTAAAGAATTCGCCGAACCCAAACCTAGTGGTTTCAGTTTTAAATTCTCAAACAGTGCGTCATTGCGATGTAGGGCCTGCATGTTCCACCAGTCATTGCCGTCCATTTTCATGCGTTTCGAAATTTCAAAAGGGTTTTGGAAGGGATTAAAGATGGGAACTTGTGAGGCCTGTGAGCTCCCATCTTGTTGGACTGGCTTTTGAAACATGTTTTTGGCAAATTCTTCGCGTAAACGCAATGCTGCGGGGAATCCATTCATTTTGTCATTCATTTGGTGCATTGGTGAACTGGTGGCATTATTATTGTCGATGTCTTTGGAAATGTGTTTGTAATTGCCGGATTCTTGTAGAGCTTGTTTGTATGCCTCCGAGTATTGTGCAATGTTCGACAATCCAAACTTGTCCATTAGTTCACCAACTAATGACGTGGGACCAGTCGATCCCTTTGGACTGTCACTCTTTAAATCCATTCGGTTGTTGCTGACACTTAGATCTTCTGCTTCATAGTCAATTTCATCCTGATCCTGGTCTTCCAAATCCTCGTCATCCTCTTCCATGGCGTCTTCGTCAACATTTTCCTCGGTATCCTGCTCGACATCTGACTCTCCTTCATTAGTTTCTGCGGATTCAGCATTACTATGTCCGTCCTCGGCAGGACTTCGATGTACACGCATATGCTTCATGAGCTTTTGAATATGTGAGCATTCAAATTCACATGCTGTACACTTGTATGGCTTCTCGCCGGTGTGTGTGCGCTGGTGGATAATAAGACTGTTTTCGAAACGGAATTTCTTATCGCAAAACGAACATGTGAAGACCGACACATTTGCTGCTGATTCCTGGCTGGGCTTAGTCGGGGGTGTTGACGCTGATCGGGGCGTACTGTTGATGAGTGCACCATTTTCTCCAGTTAATGTTTCACTCTTCTCGGGAGGGGTCAATGAATGTGGACGAGTATTATTTGTGACTGGAGTGGGAGGAAGTTGATGAGAGGGAGATGGGCTCGCAAAATGCGGCGATTGCTTTTGTCGTGGACTCGGCGAGCTCGAGTTAACAATATTTCCAGCTCCAGGACTCGTTGTTCCTGCAAGCTGACGCAATCGCTGCGAGTAAAAATCCATTTGGGGCTCAATGTTCATGGAATTATTAGTTTGGACTCCGGCGTTTGAGTTCTGCTGACCGGGTATAAGAGGAAGTGCAACGGGAGTTGTTGAACCGCGTTGACTACTATTTGAAGATGGTGGTCGTGGTTCCACAACTCCTCCCGTAGGCACCGCGGAACTTTGATTGAACTGGTTCGTTGGGGTGTGAGGAGTGGCCAAGGAATTGGCTGCAGCAACCGCGGCCGCAGCTAAATTCAGACCATGGTGGCGGAACTGTTCAGATACTAGTTGTTCCATGCGATAATGTTCGGCATGAGGTCGTGAAAAAAGAGGATTGACTCCAGGAACTACTTGTGCCTGACCAAGTCCGGGCGGAAGAGGCATTCTGAGCAAATTGAATGGATTTGAAGAATGCATTTCCGGTGGTGGCAATAACGGATGATGGCGCATACCAGCTGCAGCAGCTGCCGCCAAATTCTGAGCATTTTGCATAGCCGTCAAATTTGATTGGTGCTGTTGCTGTTTTTGCTGTTCTGCCACAGCGGCAGCAGCAGCCACAGCAGCCGCTCTATGTTGTAACTGCTGTTGTATTTGCTGTTGGTTGTTGTTGCTGTTATTTACAATGGGTGACGCAGTACATATGGAATTATTAGCACTGTTGTTATTTGAACTATTACTGCTCAAGTTGTTCTGTTCATGCTGACCACCAGACATACCATCGCTCGACGACTGGCTAACATCTCCCAACAGTGTTGTTTCTACGTAGATCTTGACGCCATGTGAATGCTGTACGTGCTGAATTAAACGCCAGGCTGAGCTGTATCTCGTATTGCACGTTGAACATGTGTAATTGCTGGGCTCTGAAAGTAAAAAGGAAAAAAATCGAAATTGAGAATAAATTCATTTGTAAGTGATGATAAAGTTAGCAAAAGATCAAAATGTGAAACAAAAGAAAATCACACAGGCCATACTGACTTCCCACAGACTGAACGACTATCGTCATTGTTTTATGCAAATTATTTGCTCAACCTATCCCTAAATTAAGCACTCCAACAATCCATACGAGATTTCATTAATATAATTAATAGTGTGCGAAAACGCAATCCGCTGCTGCACTCATGTAGCTTAAAACACACACACGCACAACCACGCGACAATCAATGTGCGCCACAACAAAAGCGCACCTTCAACCATGGAGATGCGAATCGTCGTCGGTGTACAATCATGCCGTATGTTTATGCAGCCATCACTGTTTGCTATTCCAGTGCTTGTTCAATTGCTGTTCATCTTCGTTCGTACCTTCCCGCCGCCTTAAGTATTTTTATTAATTTTTTATTACATCTCTGTATTTTGTTGTTTTTGTTCATGGGCCGAGATGCATGCATTATGAATGAATCTTAGGTGCGGACCGTCGACGCTCCATTCTGTGTGGGCCGCAACAAAGATTCCCAATAACATTTAAAGTCGGCTAACATTTAGTCATTGTTGTCGTCGTCGACGTTCGCGTATTCGTTTGTGTCTTCGTCGTCTTCATTGATGTATGTAAGTAAGCATTCCCTCTTGCCCATATGGCTTCGAATCTGAGCATTTACTTATTTAGACAATATCAGTAGTGTGGAAGTTCGCCAGAATAAACGTCACGCAACACACCTTGATTTCCGAGATCTATGCTGGGCAAGACTCATTCAGAGTACATGGAAGACAATTATAGCGCATATGGATGGAATTGTCTTCAACCCACAGTGTGGCATAGAGTAACAGCAACACGGCATTACACGAGAACAATACATACCGCATTTCCGTTTTCCCCAACCATACGAGCCAAACTTCGCATTACAGTAGCAAAATCAAACATTATCAACAAAGTGACAATGTGGCCGAGCCTATCCCTTCCGTCTTCATATTGCGCCCATGAGTGGCCCGGGAGGAGTGTTGGTGACGAAAGCCAAAACCATAAGATTTTGGCCGATGCTACGCATACAAATGACCGCCATTGGATGCCATAGCTTAGCAAAATTGTCTAAGCGGAACGAATGCCTATAAAAAAGCATTTTAAATAATCAACACGACATCGACAGCAACATCCACAACAGAACCCCAAATATACATCCCTTCCATTTTTTGTCCCATATGTGGTTATTTGGTATGTAAGTCCCATTTGTGGTCTCTCAAATGAATGTCCATGTACGACATTATTGCACTAGATGAGACACTGAGAGCCTTACTACTATCATGAAGGCAACACCAACACGACGAGGGAAGCAATAACCACGAGGCTTGGTGTTTACGCGTCTAATTTGATGGCATCGCCATGTGTTACTCGGAATGAAAAATTGCAAATTCTGTACCATTCGATTAAGAATGAAATTCGCAATTTAAACAAAAAACCAAGAGAAACTGTAGCAATTTAAAAAATAAATAAATTTCCCATGTAACGGGCCGCACGTAGAACAAATCATCACTTTCACCCGACCACAATAGCAACCCCCTGAACGATTTTTTCACCAACAGGAGGGGGTTGTAAGATTACAATTTAAAATTTACGTGCCTATAAGCGTTTCTAAAAAACGCCAACGTGTTATCTCAAGTCTTACATGAACAGCTGCGTGGAGATGCAATGGTCACAGATAATGACAGTAAGGACGCATACATACATTCATATGAAAGCCAGCATATGCATATCAAATAACCTTTGGAAGCACAGGAGTGATATTGAGTTATGTACTTCATTTTTAACGAAGGATCGCTGCTAGATCACGATTCTATCGATACTCTTCCACAAACGTATATGAATACAAATGCAAATGACGGCGAATTATACAACTAATCCTCAGAAACAATAACAACAACTAAAAAATACAACTTCCTGGCTTGGTTGTTTGCGACCTACCTACCCGGATAAGTGGTAAGGGTTGAACGACAACAACAGAAGGGGTTAAGCGAGCAGTTTGTGGCGTGTGTAGAAGTTTCACTTTTACTTTTTCTTATTAATTTTCCACAAAAAATGAATTAAATTTACGCCAAAAATAGATAATAATGGACGATCTCGCTGTCGTCTTTGGCGCAATTTGTCGCATGCCTAGCACGAGCCGAATGTTTGCCTGATAACCGCTGCACAGGAAGTTCGATACATACACATGATAAACTAAGAGAGTATTTGTTAGCAGACGGGCGACATCGCGGCGACTTACGGTCTGCTGCATTTACAGAGGACCGAGCTTGTTGTATTATGCACGATGAAGAAGAAAATGTCATTTGGGTCTCTCTGCAGGAGCTCAGTCCCAGTAAGATTATTGCCATCCTTTCGCCTATAACAAATCTACATTTCTGGTAACAGATTGAGACCACTAACATGTGAGCCAAAGCTCTCGTACATTCACATGTGTATATGCAGATTCCTTATTATTTGCAAAACAATATTTAAATGTTGACTACAGATACAACAAACACAACGACAAGGATATGCTGCTTTTGGCAGCTCAAGACAACGTAAGCAAAGAAACAGCAACCCTTTGAAAACAACGGCCAAGATAACAGCGAGCGTCCACAGTAGTACACCCCCATTCCACTTATATGCCTCACAGGGGATAAGTGACCGCATTTGACAAGAAAGCCATAAACAAAACAATTGGCCGCCCGCTGATATGTTGTCAAAACCCTTCAGTTCATGATGTGATAATAATGTCTGTTCACTCTTTGCTTGCTTTGGCTCGTTGCTTGCTCACCAGCAGTTTTCTTCATTCATCCATCCATCCATCTCGAACAAGGATTTCGTCTATTTTTTAACATTTCATAATCTAGCAAACATGCTCCTTTCATTGCCTTTGCTTTCCAATTTTTGTGAATAATCCTCTCACTCCAGACAACAAAGGACGTTACAAAGAAAAAAAGTGTTACAGGCATACACACGCACGTATAATGTGGGCAAGCCAAGACGTTAGATACGTGAACTTGCATAATCAGAGAATGGATACATGAATGTATATTATCCCTTAAAAGTATCCGAATGTCCCTCTTAATGCTGTTTAAGTCGATACCCGCCTATCGCTCACTCCAACCGAAAGAAGAGCTTGAATGAATGGCCAGATATTCTAAACTCATCAGATTTAGCCTTTTTACCTGCTGGCCTGCCTTCTAAAGCGACATTTCCTATGTGTGTATGTGTTTGTGTGTGTGAGCGTGTATAACAAGCAACCCCACCTGTCACTCGACAATCGGATAAACCCTTTTTGATTATATTTATACTGGGGTCATGTGTATGTCGCATATGTTCGTCAGATCCGATTTTCAGTTTTTTATTCGCTTCGTCAGTTTTCAATACGGCAAGCATGACATTTTGCGGATTACGTTCACGGCAAAGGTGAGGGGCGTTATGAAACAGCGATGGATTACAATTAGAGATGCCAAACTGACGGCCACTCGATGGAGCGGGGAAGGAAGGCATGTACGTATAATAAACATAATTACAATTGAAACCACAATTCATTTAAGCGATCTGATCTTCATCGTATCCAACGGAATAACAGTGACAATTGTCACTTTGACTGGCTACTTGACATGGAATTGTAATTACGCCGGAGTCATCATTGTGTGAATTCAGAACAAAACAATGAATGAAGAATGACATCATATGATGTCCTTTGCCATGTCAGGAATGGGAGTTGGTTTGTGAAAAGAAAGCGAGGTAGAGAGAAATTACATTTTCGTGTGTGAGCTTCTATAGGCACGAGGATGCGAATGATTGTATGTATATACACAAACAATTATCGAGCAAGCATGAAACGACAAACATAAACTTGACAACTACAACATGATAATACAAAACAAAAAATCAGCTTCAACTAATGGAATACAAAATAATACAAGAAAACAATGCTAACAAATACCAGTGCACACACATACACGTAGACATCACAAACTCTGGCGTATGTGTCGGTCCTTTGGTTTTCTTATCAAAACTGAAAGTGATTCAGCTTCAAGAAAGAAGTTTTAAGAATGCCAGAATCAGCAGCAGCAGCAGTCAAAGCAAACGTCCAAGCAAGAGTTGATTAAAAACCCACGGCAGTTGGAGATCTACTTTAAGGTTTGGTATGTGGTTTCCCTTTGGCCAACTCCAACCAACTCTTAAGTGTCTTCAATTGAAGGTCAGCCAAGCAAGAATGTAATGACAATCGAAGAACTGAAAACAATGGGACTCGGATAAACACGTACTCTTCCTTGCACACACAACTACGTAAACTTGTGTGGAGATTTATTCAAGTCCGTTGTGTTGGCATGTCTGTACAATGCACGCTTTCTTCTCATACCGTTAAGCTTTTCTTTACTAACTAGACCTTTTTGTCCCGACAATTGTTCCAATTCTTGACGAATCATTTTTGCGCAATTTACTTTTCATTATTTGACGTATTAGTTTACACAACCCTTTCAGCGTCAATGTAAGTGACTATTCAAAGCATAATAGATGAGTGCCCGTCCACTGACGTATGCCGACACAAGTCGAGCGTGTGTCCATATTTTCTAAGAAAACAGGGACACATTTTAATGTTTTTTTACTGACCCCTTGACCAAAATCCTATGACGCCCAGTTGTTTGACCAGTCATTTCAAATGGATTTTCATTTAACTTTGTGTCTGTTAACATGGACAAAGGTGTAAAATGTTAAAGGTCAGCGAGAAGCTTGTCAAAATATTATCAGGGAAGGGTCAGTTCCCTACTTCTACACAGCCAGCATCCGTGTCATATATGCTCGAATGACCACTCTTTGCTGTTGAGGAATTTATTTGCCTCCCTTTGTGCTGTGTGTGCTGTTTATTAGCGCAAGTAAAGGGTTGAAATTTGCTATTCATTTTTTACGTTGATTTGTGTACCGGAAATGTTTGATTTTCAATGTCAAGAATTTCATTTAGGTTTGCTTTAATTGCGAATTTTCCACAAAAACCCGAATGCAGGCACAATAATGGATGAGTGGACGAAAGGTCATGTAGCGAAAGGCATGTTGATGCCAGCTTATCTTAGGGCTTTTGTTTGAGTTGACATCAACGGTTATGAGGCAATAAGGCAAAGTTCCGTGAACGCTTTGATGTTGATAATGGATGGACCGGTATTTATTCATTCGTGCTTTTTATCAATGGATTTTTGCTTTTGGTCAGAAATGACATTGTGTCCGGGTAAAATATGTTTTGCATTGCAGTTTGTAGCAATGATGTTGGGGCACACATGCCAACGGAGCACGGATACATAAAAGTCTGAGCCACTATTGGCCTCGAGGTCTGTAGATACCCATCACCGGCAAATGTGCCAAAGCGTGGGTTATGGTCATTGTGGAATTTTAATTAAATTATAGAAAGGCATTGTCACCTGGCGGAGAAAATAATGAATGCTTACCTGTTTGCAGTGTATTTGATTCAGCATCGATGAACTCGATTTTGGGGCGTTTAGTCTTTGGCTGGCAATCGTCATCGTTGTCGTTGATGTTATCATTGTTGGTGCTATTGTGACACTCAACTGCTTCAGTATTACAATCATCGCGATCAAGTTCCTGCTTGATAGATGTGGTTATAGTCGGTAGTTCCTCGGTCGACGAAGTTGAGGTTTTGGTATTTTCTGTTGCATCCATGGGTGTGGTATTGTCATTTTCTGTATAATACAAATGTATAATTTGAGAGGTGCTATTATTTGGGGTTTGGTCTACTCTACTTACCGTCTACTAGTCTTTTGGGTGTACTTGAGGCACCGTCGGCTAACATGTCCGCTGGACTTGGCGGTGGTGTATGAATGCGGGATCCACCCGTTGTTTTGCGTACATTAATAGGTGCCGAAACCGATGGCCTACGATTGACAACACCTAGCGGCCTGCCATCTTCGGTATCGGCTCTATCGTTCGAAGGACCTGAGAAATACAACATAAGTTAAATAAACAGCTACGCAAATGGAGAGACCCATTTTTTGGAACATACCTTGATTTGAACATTGTCCATAGTTTTCCTTGTTACATTGCAGAACTTTGTGCTGTATAAATTTGACTATGTCGGAGAGGGCAAAAGTCTTTTGGCAGGCACCACATGTAAGTATATCCTGAGCTGTGGCATCACCTTCGGTGGAATCTGAATCTGAAAAAACAATCCAAAAAAGCACCATTAGTTGAAATGCTACTAATACAATGACAGATGTAGATAGATATCCACGACAAAACAATATACACAACAACATAGAGACTTGACTGTCTGCCATGTAACCCATAATAAATTATTCAATAAATTTTATCTTAATACGCTTATGGCCTGACCTCTAAATTGCCAATTACCAACAAACGAAAGAAATTTCCATCACATAAAACTGGCATAAACATATGAATATTTCCAATTTGGTGTTTGGCTGTTGGGCGTCTTTCAGTCTCACGCCACCACACTGGCGGGCTTTATGGTTAAACTCAATTTATAGCATGGCATTTACGCTTTATCCTTAAATACACATGCTCCCAGAACTAAACTAGCGTTTTCGGTTAATGTCTCACAATAAATTTGCAAGATGCGTGCAAGTAATTAATTCCCCGCAAATACTTGTATTGATTTGCTTTGCTTGCTGGTAATGAGATGCAAACTTGTGATGTTGGAGTGCCAAGGGCCGTAGCAAATAGTTGCTGCACCTCCCTCCCTCGCATTCCTCAGCGATTTAATCCTCTGCCCAGCCCATTAAAACCAAACCAATTTACCCTGCGGAAATTTATTCATAACATTGCCACAAACAATCAAATACACACACACACATCCGACCATATCACCAGATCGTTGTCATAACACAAAGGCGACATTGGAAGGTGTTTGTTTGTAGCCGGTCCAAACAGTAGCAAATAAATATTGGCCAAACTTATAAATTCCAATCAATGTTTATTAATGGACAATTTGCCCAATATCTAGTGTGATATGCTAAAACACTTCGTCCCTTTCATTCCATTGTTTGTGTATTTGGGATAGATGAATGGATGAGTGCGTATGTGGGAAAGGGGGTGGTTGAACTGTCCTGTTTGTTGGTTTCATGTCCTTTTTCGTCGTCGTCGTATCTTCGCACTTCGGGGCATGTGTAGGTCTGTATGTGTTAACATCGCATAACTCTATAAACACAATTTCCGCAAAGTTTTCCTACAGCTCTGAAGTCTTTGTTTGACTTTGGGTTTAATACTTGTGTCCACATTAAGCAGGCCGATCCCCAGACAAAGGCAAGGGAGACATCGAAGATGGCCCAACATATGTAAAAGTTTTGTCATTTTGATCCCATGATTGGCCCCATATCTAAGGGAGAACACATTGGCCACATATCCATGCTTCATAAAAAAAACTAAACGCACACAAACAAACATACTGACCAACATGATACACCCAATTTATGTGCCCACGCAAATAAAACAAGGATAACCGCATTAAAAAAGCGTAACAATAATCCAGTTGTCAATTAGGTGATGTATAACAACAACACGAACAAACACTAAGGAATTATGGACAATGATTATCAATAAAAAACGACAACACAAAAAGATATAAACGATGTTCTTCCACAACATTCATATAAGTCCGGACATACGGATGAACAAACGGACATACAATTTGATACCCTGAAGCTGTGCGGTCGGTCTGCAGTGGCCATTGTTTTTTCTATGAGGTTGGTTTTTTGTTGATTGTGTGTCGGTGTAAATTGCCATATCCTGGGGGTGACAAAAAGGGAACGTAGAACGCAAAAAAAATATATAGTTGACTTATTAATTCCTGATTGACTGGGATGAGCCCAACAATTCAGTTTGTCCGTCAGTTAGCAATATGTTCCGGGGATTGTGTTTTTATTAGTTAAGGTTTATTATCATCATGTTTTTGGTGATTATTGTTTTATTTTTTTCCAAAAAAAGGACACAGCCACAACATGAAAACTCAATTGAATGTACACCCGCAGCTAGCTGTTTTTTTTTTGTGCGTGTGTGTCTGTTATGAGGCATTTTTTATTGATTGGGTGTTAAATAGCCAGAAGATATAGCGGTCACCAATTCGTTCATAACATATTGATAACAAGTAAGAGGATGCCTTTGCTGTCAAGTGAGACAGACTAATTAAATATAACATTCCCTGTTTAGGTGGCACTCTGACCAATGGACAGCCTAATTGTAAATGTTGTTGCATGTGTTGGTGGATAGCCACATTGATTGGCTGAAGACACACAGGAATACTGGGCACATTCACTAGCAGGTAGAACAGAGGTGCGATTTCAAAAGTAACCCCACCTACCAATAGAAAGAATGAGGCGGACAGTGGACACAGACTTGACAGTCAGGTTGTTTATTCGTAACCAATAAATGTGCCAACCGCAGCTGATGGCTGACAATTTTGTGTATATGTCAAATGTCAGCTGGCCACTTAACTCTTTTGGTGTCGGAGCTCTGTAACGCATTGAATTGCGTCGATTTGAATCAACCCTTTCACCCTCATAACGTCGCCAATATCTTTTGTTCGCATTGAATTGAACATTTGTTACGGCACTTCTAATGCGTGATATTAGCAACGATTACTGAGATTTGGCTATTGTGTCATTGTTTGCCGACTGACTGTTCAATTTACGATAGGTTAGCAAATGGGGCAGCTTACGTCGAAAGGTTTCAATATGAAATGTTGAAGTCAGCTGGTTTTGACTGTGTCATCTGCTGCCGGGAGTTCAGTTCAAATTCATATTGGCCTTTGGAAATATGTGTGTTTATTCGCTAAATCCCCACGTCATCCGCAAAGGGCTGTGCATGACGGAATGGCACAATTAATGCGTATCGATGTATTCTGCATCCAACATTTAATACAGTTTTATCGCCTTTGCCGATTAACATATTAATAGTTGGTCATAATCAAGCAGTAAGGACCAATTCATATGTGCATATGTCTGTGACATCATATTGATACACATTGTATTCAGTAGCGAGTGTTTCTTATTGCTCACTGGCGCCCCAAATATGATAACGAGATTACCAATAACGAATATTCAACGCTTGCTGCTTGTCAAGGCTCAAATTAATATTTTATTATTGTTGTAGATCATGATTTGTTTCTTCGTCATCTTCTTAGTCGGTGAAGTTGTCACAGCCGCATTCTTTAAATTGGACCACGACTAATTACTCCACGTACATGGATACGTCATCGTTTTAGACAGCTAGGAGTAAGTGCCTGATACAAAGAGCCACAGCTAGCGCTGTTTCTAGGCAGGTCAGAATAAACTATACACGTGAATAATCCATAAATTGAGCGAGTGTGTGTTGTCATACTCACATACCCACATAGCCAGTGAAGTCATTTATTTTATTTATTATTATTTGGCCAGATCCCATATTTAAACGAACCTATATTTATTGTTGTCTTATAAATACACAACGGACCGAACAACAACATGTGAAATAAAATATCAAGTATATCTCAAAAACACAGACGGACGGACATTGAGTTCTCCCCTGCTCGATAAACGAACGAACAGAATGAAATATAAACGACTGTGCAAATATTTGTCGCAGCGGCCAAGACTTTAAAACCATTTGTACGTTTGGTAGCGGAATGGAGGGAGCATGATTACCTATTTCCCAGTGTAATCCGTCTCAACAAACCAGGCTTAACATAACAAAAGTTGTAGTGGGGCACCGATATATATCACTTATCAGTGGTTCGTTGGATTATTCTAACGCAACTACGTGAAATGTGGAAATGCCTAACTTGCTGATTCACATTGGGATTTTTGCCCTGATCAAGGCATTTTACATACTGTGCATGTTGCTGATAGTGAGTGCTCCCCTTCGAACACCTCCTAGTCTACTATAGGTATAGCGGTAACTGCGTTTTACTCCGCAATCCGTTATCAGACGGTTATTTTGTTGGTTTGTGGTATATTTAAGCATATCAGGGGCATGCATATGCCCCATCCCGGCTGTACATGGGCTTGGATATTTGGGTTAAACACCTTTGCGATATGTGAGTGTTCGTTAGTGTGTGTGCTTAAAGCGAACCGGTGCGTCCAAGCTAAATGTCACAGATAACACCACCCGCATACAGCTGACAAGTCTTATGCAAATAAACGACTTTGTGGTACTCTACTTTAGATAGCTAGAGTAAACCGAGTATGTGGGGAGGGTGCCGACAATGTGACGATACACAGTATTTACCTGATAAGACACTATTACGAGTTCAGATATTCCTATGCTCTGAATTCGTTCCAAATGGTCATTGGACAAACACACAGTCACATGAAACGTAAACAAATTAGTTCACGTTGAATTAGATAAAAATTGTATCAACATACAGAACTTGGGTCTTTGTCGTTGCGGCATTTAAGCTTGCTAACCCGCAATTACTTTGAAATTAGCACAGTGGACATATACATTTATGTAACTTACGACTCAGTGAGCGAAATCCTTGATCCTCGCTTATGGAAAGCATTTTGGTGTACATTTTTGCATAAATATAATCACTCTCACGATAGTCACGCGCGATACGTTTTAGAATAATATAAAATTTACAAAATATTTAGTCTCTTTATTCGCACTGTTCAACACAATATTCCTTATTTGCTTAGATTTTGTTTTCAATAATTGTTTCTGGTGTAATTTGCTTCACTATTTCTAATAGTTTTTATGGGTTATTCGTCGTTTGATATTTGTAAAAATCACGCTTATTATTTCTTTTGTTTTTTTCTTCAATTCTGTTATAAGTGATTGTACAGATAGTGGTTCTTTGCCGAGTGTCGAGTGTGTTCACCCCACAAAGACTTCACGTGGACTGACGATAGAGTTTCATTCACGATGCCTTGACGGTCCTGTTGACTATTTTTGACGGTGGCTGAGACTCACACGCACAGTGTGGCTGACCCTACATTAGAAAAACAAAATAAAATAAAAAAAATGTGAGTCCTCACCAATACATACTCACTCACAAAACGACATAGACCTTCTAATGTGATACTCTCCCTTATTTCATACCCATTTACCATGATCTCTGGCCAATGCACACACACACACACTTGAGTAGTGCGTTACACACAAATCGATGTGAGTGGATTTGCTACAAATCAAAGCCTAAGGGGGATGAAATTTTGAATTCTACATGAAATTCTTATGTTGAGCAATGCTCTGCCGCAGCGCAATTATTGACCACTTTCAGTAGTGATGCTGTGTGTTTAGACTCAAAATTCAAATAGGATTTTGAAGACATCGAGGCGTTTTTCTCAAGAAGCAAATTTAGTGCGCAATTGCCTAGTTTTTGTTTTGTGGATCAATCTGTTTCTTTTGTACACAGCTAGTCTGGCGCATCAGCGTCGTATTCAAAGGGTTTGAAAAATTTCAGAGGATTACCATTTATACATAAGTTTAATTTTTTACTCAACACAATCGTGCATATGTATTATACTTGTTGCAAGACACAATTGCAACAATTCGTTAATATATCTGATTATTTTCGTTTTAACTATTTTACTATTTTATTTTGTCTATTGTATGTCCTGTATATACTTTGATTCCAAGTGTTACGATCTGTGGGGCACAAGTTGTAATGCAAATACATATTATATAAATAATATCAATCAATCGTTTTTGATCAGGGCTCTTTGTTCCTGAGCAAAACTCTGCACATTGCCTAAATGATTTTTCCTCGGACTCCCGGACATGTTTTGTTGTATGACTAAATTTAGCAAGACGTAAACAAGCTGATCCGTACACAAAAATAGACTTGACATATTTGTGTATCTTTAGTCATTCACTAATCAGGACAATCCAGGATTTGAATGGATTCATGAACACAACATTGCTGTGCTATGTGATGTCATATACATAGACCCAAATAGACAGACATTTGAATTCGGACACAATTGAACTAAATCGTAGAGCATATTTCATTGTTTGACTCCTGTTTATGATGAAGGGCCATGTCTGCCCTCTTCAAAATTAGACGACTTTGTCAATAACAGGAAATGTGTACTGCCTCCAAGATTTCAGAGTTATCAATACATCTGAATCAATGTTTTCAAGTGCTAAGAAATTGGAGCTCTGTTATTTTCTGTTTCCTTACATGCGAAGTATAGAATGTGGACCAAAAACACACAGAATACCCCTATTGTTGGTGGACGAGGTGGGAAATTTTTCGACGTTCTTCACATTTCTTTTAAAAATTTTTGGATGCTTTCTACTTATATTACTGTGTGGCGTTACAGCAAGCGAGTGAACCTAATAATAGTAAAAAAACAACAAACTCACACAGACCGACTCATTGTTTCACAGCTTGATATGCATGCAGATCGTTTATTGTCTTCGGGATAGGTTTCTTTGTTTCGTTTAGCGTTTTGTTTTCTTAGTTTTTTTTTATTAGGATGACGACTACCCATCGTTACCCCTGAGAATGTGCGCAGACGCTGTGTGAGCAAAAAAAAAAAAAATAAAAAAAACTACATAAGCAACCAACTCATCATCTATTTTATTCCTGTGTTACCCTTGACAGTTTTTTATTATTAAGATTTTCAATTAATAATGGGACGAAATAAGAAGCCACGAACAGCAAAGCTACATAATGGACATGTATGATTTGAAAAAGGATGCTGCTAATGTCCTGAAACTAAATTCCTCAGCAAACGTTTATTTTCTTTTTGCAAGGACCTCAGACAGTGCCCATGTGTCTAGGATATTCTTGTAAGAGGGACCATTCACATGTGTATGAGTATGAGTATGGCTGTGTGTGCGGGCATAATAGCGCATTTGTAACCCCTTGCATAATTTGAGGACCCCTCTGTTATTGTACGTGTTTATCCTTGCGAATCCTAAATATTGCATTTCTTTTGTTTGCTATTTTTTAGGGATCAATGTTTTTTATGATTTCCTTTGTATGCTATTTTTTGGCAATGTATCGCCAAGGAGAAGACAATCACGAGATGGCTCATAAAGAAATTGCGTTACACACGGGCATACATGTACAAAATCTCACCCCTCAGAATGTGTTGACGTTGTGTTGTGGAATCGATTCACATAGAAGAAGATTCCAACAATAAGATCGAGAATGGATCTTAGAAAAGGACTACACACAAAATTATTACGAGTTTCGTCCGTTTTCAATCACATCCGTAACAACAACATATCCTAGGTAGTGGCAGTATTTTTTGCTTCGGTCCCATCCTACCTTTGTAACGGAATTTTTTATGCAAATATGCGTTTTTTATTTTCGTCCTACCACCACCAAAGACAACAAAGGTATGAAAATAGTTTTTTCGAGCGCCTTCGGTTGCATATGTTCAAGACGTTTGTGTGTGTGTGTTTTTTTTTTCTTCTTAGTTTTTTTTTTGTATGTCTTCGGCTGTCTTGTTTGTGGGTAAGATTTTCCCAGGGCCTGATAAAAAGACAAACGTCCTCCCCTCAAAGAGGGAGAGTAAGGAAAAAACTGTCATATGAGCGCTTGCAGAAGTTTTGCATAGGACATACCTCCTGTTCTATTGTAAAAAACGGGACAAAACAATGCATTCATTTATTTGGGTAGCAGCACAAAAAACAGATAGCCTGACATTTGCTCATTATCCTCGGGATGGTTAGGCAAACAATTTCCGTAATAAATTGCATTGATTTTTATATTTTAATATCGTGCGTCTTCGTCAAGATAAATGTTACTCTCAAAAAGAGGTTACGGCTGCTGTTTTTTTATTATAAGAAATAAGACTGATCAAAGGGCGCATTAAATTTCTATGACACTGGTAAACCACCCGAAAAAGGCCAGCTGCATAAATTAAAAAATATTTCTCAAACTAGAATGAAATAGTTTAGAATGGAAATATCTCGGGAGCAAAGCTGAACAAGCATCGTTTTCCTCTACTTTCTTTACGTCAGGCACCAAGGATCAAATGGTGTTGTTGCAATAATTAATTAAATACTGACGATTAAACCAAAAATAAAATTATTCGATATAATCTTAAATATGTTTCTATTTTATAGACAATGTTTCGTTATTGAATTCTGTTTTATATATTGTAAATATAACCATATTAACTTATAATTAATTAGAGAGGGTTATCTTATTTCAGGCACTCTTTTTTAAAATTAAATATAAGATTTTTCAAAATTATCGATTATCTATAACTTCAATTTTTATTAGTTATTATTATTTAGCTGATTATAAAATTTTATATTTTTAACAATTTATCTTAAACGCATCAACAAAGGTAAAGGACGTATAAAATGTGTCGGACAAACACTACATGTATTTTACTTATATGATTCGCTCAATATGTATATATATATATATTTACAATACCCGGCAATCTTCTTTAACAATTTTAAAATTAATAATTATATTGCAAATGTATTGCTTCTTCCTGACAGTGGATGCCCGGCAGTTCTTGACATCAGTGTCAGGTTTTAATTCTGAATTTTGATTATAAATATAAACAAAAATTTATTTTAAAAATGATTTCGTTCAACATAATTTTAAAATTATATATGAATTATTTTCGCGATAAAGCGTGTTAAAACTCCTCCAAAACGTCAGGATCGATTTTCATAAAATTTTGTATTTGGGATCTTTACGTCTGAGAATACGTTTTTGGAGTAATGACGTTTTTGGAATCTGTCATGGCCCTTCGGGCTAGGTTTTCGTTTATGAAATAAATTGCAATTGAATAAGACGCTGGTTGGAGTAAAATGGAGTTAAATTGACTTTAAGAACGAATTGCATTTCAACTCTCCAAAAATATTTTTAAAATGCTTATTGGAAAATACAATGAATTTTCAAAATGTACACTGGAATATATATATGGGCAATATTTCCAATTTTTTTAATATTCCATTTTCAAAAAATCTGTTTTTTTGTTTTTGTGGCACATCAATGATTTTTGGTACACATATAGAGAAAAATGTTCTGACTCCGAAACCGTTCGCGATCAAATTTTTGGTTGATGCGCGCAAAAGTTATCGAGGTTTTAATTTTGGGCATAAGAAAAAAATCTTAAAATTACGCCGTTTATTATATTGACCAAAAACGTTGATATATATCTTCCTCCGTAAAATAAAAATATGAATATATTATAATAATCGCGAAAAAATTGCACATCTTCGCTAAATATGAGAAAAATAATAAAAATATAGGAGATTACGTCAATATTTTCATTATATTAATGACATACACACACCTTAAAATTAATGTTAAATTATCTACATAATCTAAACACCATGATGAATCTGATGATATCAAAATCACACATGTCCGTGTAGCGGTTTGTAAATTACAGCGGCAACAAAACAAGATATTGAGGAAAAAAATTGTTTTTGGGTCGAAAAAAGAATGTCATCATATTTATTTTTTTAATTTTATACAAGAAATTTCAGAAAAAAATGTTGGGGTTATTCTGGTATTTTACCCGAATTTCGCCAAAAAAAATTGACATATATAATAATAATCACTTTTGACCCTAGAAGTAAAATTCAAAAAACACTCAAAAT